TGTGCTCTTCCGATCTATAAGTACAAATTTAAATACAATTTTAAGTTGTATAATATTGTTACTTTTTCGGTAACTTCATGTAATATCTTCAGAACCTCGGTTTGCTCTCTACCTTCTGGCGTTAACGAGAATATCCAATCGGAGTGTAACCATGGTCTTATTAATCTAAACAACAATTATGAAATAATGGGCATACTATTTATAAGTAATAATATTATTTTGTAAATGAACCCCTTCCTTTGATTTCTCTATAAATTCAGGGAATTAATAATATTTCAATAATTATGTAAAAAGAGAATAGATTTACACTAATAAAAGGATATATATATAAAATTACATATACATATTACTAATTTTTTTAACTATTTATTCTTAATTAAAGACTTATCTAAGCGTATTTGCATTAGTAGCGTAGTGCATTGTTTTTTTCTGTGATACCTACTGCAGTGCTCAAAATTTTAAAAACGTACAGAATACTAATTTTTAAATAAATAATTTCATGAACTATACATGTAAAGTAACATAATATGTAAATTTTTAATTATCGACAATGTTTTGCATTAAGTATTTTGCCTTCTGTTTGTATGGATATAAAATATTGTTAATAATATATATATTGTCAATAATATTGTTAAAAGATGTTGTTCTATATTTTAAAATAAAAGATGTAGATGTATAGTTACTCGATCATTACATTTATAAATTACCTATAACTAGCAAGTTCACTTATGCGAAGAAACGCTTTCTTATACCGTTGCTGGAATGCACCAAGATCTTGTACTGAAATACCCATGGCAGTTTCTGCAAATACATTTATATAAAAATTATATAATATCTACTATTATCATATATACATATATATATATATATATGTATATATAGGGTGTCTCATTTTAATTTTCCCAAACAAACATCTTGAAAAATACGCAAGATAACAGAAAATGTTTTAAACAAAAGTTAAAGGATATGAAGGAAGACAAATAATGATAAGATGAATTTCACAAAAAATCGATTTTTCACATGAAGATCCTTCCATTTTTTTAAATGGAATATTATGATTTTTTTTAAATGATATGATTCCTCTATTTATTCTGCATACAAAAGTATTGAGGTAAAGTTATCGAAAAATCAATACTTTACGAGGTATTTAATACTTTATCATGTCATTTTTCGATATAAAATATGAAATATCTTATAAACTATTGATTTCTTAATTATTGTACCTTAATACTTTTATACACCGAATAAGGCGAATCGATTAGAGTAAAGAAAACACACACTTGCTTTGCAAAAAAAAATGTACAAATTGCATATTTTGTTATCATTATTTGTTCTGCTTGCCCTATATTTTTCGAGATATTAATTGCCTGGGGAAATTAAAATGGGACACATTGTACCTATATTCTAAAAAAAACATCTGTTCTTTACCAAAAAATTTAATGTTGAAAAGTAGTGATTATGGTACTAAAGAACATTATACTTATAATATTCTACCTATATTATATATTCTACCTATATTATATAAAACAAGTAATTTTTTTGTTATGCCAGCGGCACACGATGCATGTTTTCCTGCTGAATTGCTTGCATTTTAGTAAATCACTGTTACGTCACACAGAACGTTGAATTTCTAGTAATTTACTAAAACGCAAGCAATCTAGCAAAAAAACATGCATCAAGTGTCGCTGGCTTTATTAAATTGGCCAATGTTAGATGTGATTTCTGTAAGACAATTTTGAATATGTATTGAGCAATACGTTGTTATATCAGTATTTGAAATAAAAAAACTAATATTTTGTGTTATATTATTCATCTATGGGAATAAAATTTTATATTGGTTTGAGGAATACATACCACATATTGCATTTAATGTATGTTCATTAAGGAACGGAATTAAATCTTTTACAACTATGCCTTCTGTTTTTTTCAAGGACTTTGTCATTTTTTCGCCTTCCTCGATGAATACCTTAACAAACTGTTGCAATATGTTAAAATTAAATGTAGGAGTTAACAATTTTCGTCGTGAATGCCACTTGTCGCCTGAAAAAAACACAAACAACACGTTCAATGCATGTAATTATGCAATAACGATTTGAAACAAACATTGCAATAAAACCATATTTTTTACTTTAACTTTAAATGTATTAATTGATTTTTAATAACAATAATAACCATTGGTTATATGTACATATAATGTACACTCGCTCACAGAAAGATTGCAACACTTTTTTAAATCGTTTTCGGAATACAGTCTGTTTACCAAATGATTGATACCTATCAATGGATCTGACCAGTTATGTTTAATCGCTCCACGAGAAAACTGCATTCCAAAACCCATCAAAATAAAAAGTGTTGCAGCCTTTCTGTGACCGAGTGTACTTATATGTATCTTTTTTAATTATTCTTTTCTTGTTGTGTGTTTAATCTTTAGCAATAA